ACCCACACCCACATCCACACTCACACCCACACCCATACCCACACCCATTATTAGGCAAAATTTGTTTTTAACGAGGCGCGAAACTACAATACGATTTTTATATTAATAAATGTAATCATCGTAACAAACATTTTGAGTGCATTGACATCGTAAAACGATATTGAAAAATATTTTTATAAACAAGCAAGTCAATTGATTCTTTTTCATAAATGGAACGACTTCACCGCATTGATACCACTTCACTGAAGCGGATTCCGAATCAGTCTTTTGAGTAGCTAATTCGTCCCAAGACAATGTGACAAATAATTAGTGCAAAAAAATGTATGTTGACTTAATATGTCTCGATAAATGATGAAAATCTGAGGTGTACATATAGGTAAATTCTTATGAAGAATTGCATATATTTCCGTTCGAAAAAAACGGAGAAACTGCATGTCTTGGGTGTGGGGTGTAGGATGTGGGTGTGGGTGAGTCGAAGGTCCACACCTCACACCCCACGCCCACACCCAAGCTTGGCGACGGCAAAGAAGATAAAGACTTTTTGGGCTGTTTGTGACAAATTTTATTCTCTTGATTGTTTCAATGAGAAGCATTATCCCACTAAATAAAAGATTCAAAAAGCGAAGATAGAAAATGTCACATTTGGTATATCTTCTTGCCTGAGAAAAAGGGAAAACTAAGTGTCTTCCTAAGAAGATACTTCTTGAATATAGTGAGACCGACCGGTGGATCTCATTGCCTGGAATGTGTTAATCATTTAACACATGATTGAAATTGAATGTTTCAAATATAAAAGTAAGGATATTAATTTACTGACTTATATTTTGCAAAATAATCAAAATCACTTAATGAAAGTGATGTCAACATGACTAAACTAATGCAATGGTTTTGATGTTTCCATATTAACGAAAAGCATGAACTTTTTCGTATGAAAATTCCGAACTTTTGGGTGCATATGGGTGTGAAGAGAATCGAAAATCACACACACTTAAGCAATTTCATCTGTCAAGTGATTTAGCACTTCACAAGTTTTTACCTATTGGACTTTATTGAACTGAACTCCAAAGAACAAAGAACAACAAAACATAATTGCTCTCTTGTCCAATTACGCCATCTAACTGTTTCTCAAGTTTAGTGGTTGATCATATTTACTAATTGAATTTCTTTTCTGTCAATGTCGCCATATGCGGCATATATTCTAGCAACAAAAATCGAACTCTGATGTCGAACAGAAAACGTCAGAAAATAACAAGAACCAGTCAAGAGAGTAAAATGTAAGTAACAGTAATTATTGTTTTCTTACCTACCTGTTCATTTAAACTCATTTTTTGGCAGTTTTACATCTACAAAATTTGAAGATTTACCAAATGAGTTGATATTATTGTGTTTTAATTATTTTGATTTCTATCAACTATATGAAACATTTTTTTGTTTAAATCAACGTTTCAACAAATTAATTCTATATGATACACAAATTCATGTTGATTTTGGTTCAATTCCAAATGGAAAATTTTTAACATTTTGTTTTAATTTAAATCAGTTAACAAATACAAGTAAAAATTATCCATTATCAATTCGACTTGATGATGAATATCAATTTAATATATTTTTCGAAGATGATTTATTTAAAGATAAATTTTCTAAACTCAAATCATTAATAATAAATAATATAACACCTGCAAGATTAAATAACATAATATTTGACAAAAAGATAAAATTATATGAAACATTAGAACGATTAAGTTTAATGGAAGATATCAGTGGAGAAGACTATGAAATAGAAGGTAAGGAACTATGTCAGTAATTGAAAGCTGAGTAGAACATGACTAAATCTAATATTCAAACTAAAAAGAAAGAAAAATACATTTGTTAAATTCAAAGACATAAAATTTTAATTTCTATCTTATTTGTCGTTGTAGAATTATGTAATAATTTAATATCACCAAAAATGAAATCATTAAAATATTTGAATTTGAATTTTGAAATACACGAGTGTGAATGTGAACATGGTATCCACGAACCTAAAGATTATGTCGATTTGAATTTTGAAGAATTGTCGATAATAAAAAACTCATTAAATAATTTAGAAACAATTATTATTGGTTGTAAGTTATCAAAATTGTATATTTTTGTATACATATATCTAATTTCTTTCATTAGATATTCCTAAAAATGATCGTGATTTTTCAACAACAAGAACATCGTTTTATTCATTGGCTGAAAAGTTATTACCTTGTCTACCAAAATTAAAGAATTTAATTATAAATTCAGTTTATTTAGATGACTATGATTATCAATACTATAAACGTAAAGTACGCAGAAAATATTCTTATACCTTCTAATAAAAATTTTACACTAAGTGCGATTAGAAAGATCTAGAGAATTACAAGAAGATAAGCATTGTCTAACAAGGAAAATATCTTTTTAGTACAATTTGACTAAAATTTTATCGATTTCTTCCTTATAGATATTATTGCCCATTTGATACTATTTTCATTTTTTATTATTTCATTTTATTAAATTTTTCTTTTCTATGATAGACATCGTCAGCTGAAGAAAAAAAATTTATTATTCCATCAAATTTAAAATTAATAAAAATTTGGACCATTGTAAACAAATACAAAAAAGATGATAACAAAAAACTTGAAAAGTTGTTACGAAAATATTTTATGAATAACAGTTCAACAACAATTAAAATATTTACTATTAACAATAAAAATGTTTTAAGAAAAAAATTTTAGAACTTCATCTATTTCATGTATATGATAATGTTTTGTATTTGATCTGGTCATTTTTTTTTCAGAATAAACTTCTATTTGTTACTTCTTATAGGATTTTTCTTCATATCTTGGATTTACTTTAACTATGAAAGATAGAATAAGAAGAACACAAAGAAAAACTTGGAAAACTTTTCTTGTATGTCATAAAAAGAAAATAAAATATTTGTATCTCTTCTTATCCATGACATTCATTTTTAAATATTAAGAAAACATGTACTTTTCTACATTCTTTTACACATTTTTTTTTCTTTCTATCAAATGTTTTCTGTAACTAAAAAGTCTAATTTTTAGAGGCGACAAGGAAGGCACTTCAATTGAATTCTATCGTACAAAATTTTTAATGATATAAGCTTCATACAGTTTCAAAAAAATTATGTGATTACGACCAATGTCCAACCATGTACAAAATTATTCATTTAGTCCTTGCGATCTCAGTGTTCAGTTTTCTTTACATTTCTGTAACCTATAATTATCCCATTCGATACATTGAACAATGTTGAGTTTTGAATTTTTATAAACAAAACATTGAGAGTTTGATGTACAGGCAAAAGACGAAAAAAAAATATTTGACATCTTTAAAATTTTATTGATATAAAAATAGCATGTTTCAAATTATTTAAGTGTTGAAAATTTATACTCATTTAGAAAAATTAGGAAAATTCTTTGTACCATTATGAGTTTTCATACCTACAAAGTCATCGATTGTTGTATTCCGCCTTGATTAATTTTGACGAAAAAAGAAACATGGGAAAATGTCAAAAGTTGAAAGATGAGTGATATCATCTTTGGAAATACGAATAAATCTGTTTATTCTTGCAAGTCGCACCAATCATTGTAAAGATGTAATTACAGTACAAATGTGTTGAAAAATTTTTTTAAAACGCAAATTTTTCAACACTAGACTCATTATCCGATTATTTGTGACAATCAGAATTTTGTTTCTGAATGTCAATATATTAATATGTTATATTATCATTATATTTATATGAAGAAATTCAAGATACCAATTTCGTTTTATTATATCAATAGAACACATTTAATACACTAACACAAGAAATATATTCATTTAAAACATACCTGTTGAATCAAAAATATTGTTAAATGATTTGCCTACTGAAATTATTTTTCATATATTTGATTATCTATCAAATAATGATATTATTTATACATTCTTTTATTTAAATCAACGATTAAATAATTTATTATCAAACAATAAACGTTATTTAAACTATGTCGAATTACTAACAAAAAATATAAGTATTTGAAAAAATATTCTTTCAAACACAGCTTCACAAATAGAAATATTAAATATTTCAACAATTGATATAACATTTCAATTGTCATTATTTCCAAAATTAAAATCCATTATGAATAAGTTCATCACATGGTTTTCCAGATGAAGAATTAATATCAATTATTGAATGTGTTATATTTAAATATTTACATTGTTTAATAATAAAAGAAAAGAAAATATTTCCTGATCCTGTTAGTGAGAATTTTATAATTAAACAAAATATTATTTTTAAAAACATTTTCAATTATAAAAATTCCTTAAAAACTTTTCAATATTCATCATTAATACCATCATTAGCACAAACAGATATAAATACATTTCAAATATATATTGCTTCATATTCCTTAACATTAATATTAACTGATTTTCGAGATATATATTCAATGATTTTTTTATACATCAAATTTAGAATATTTAAATATTCAATGTGAATCACCTTATCAACATCAGAATTCAATTATCAATATAAATATAAAATTAAAACAATTTTATTTAAAATTAATACAAAATCTATCACCATCTTATGGACGAAGACCTTTTTAAATTGATTTTAATCAATTATTCAATTGTATAAAACAGTTTTCATCATCGTTAATTTGTTTATCATTTGATTTAGTTGATTTGAATATTGAAACTGAAGATGAATTTCCATTTAATAGTATCAAATTTCAACAATTGTTAGAATCAATGAGAGAACTTAAAAAATTTTATCTCTATGCTAAATTATATACGAATTCTTATAATGCTAATCATATTCTATCAAAGTTTAAAAATCAATATTATCTTGATTATAATTTATCATTTCGAATGCATTTAAATTATTTTTATACATTACCATTTCATTTTGATCATCTTTATGAAATTTATAATAATTTTAATGATGTTAAATCTTGATTTATCTTCAAAATTGATTTATGATTTCAATTTTATAAAAGAACTTAAAATAAAAATGCCTAAATTAATGAGGATTAAATTTAATAAATATTATTTTTATTTTTCAAACAAAAAACAAAAGTTAAATGAAAGACCAATAATTTGTTTCGATAGTATCACAACTGTTCATCTAAACAGTAATGATTCGATGGAAATTGAAAAAAGATTAGTTCATTGATAGATTACCCAATTTGAAACATTTAATTCTATCTTGGATAGATTTACTTAAAACAGAAAGTCATTTAACTGATATATTAAATAAAAGTATTCAACAATTAAATATAGATAATGATCGTATTATTCAACCATTAGCAACAACAAATTATATTTATTTTTTAAATGTTATGCACATTAATTTTAAGTATGATTGTACTCATTATTGTTCACCTAAATGGCATTCCAATGTTATTATGAATATATTGAAAAAATTTCAAAAATTTACAAACATTATTAATATACATACTTCAAATTCGTATTGATGATCCTAATAGAAAAACATATTTTAGTGAAATCATTGAAAATTTCGATATGAATAAAATTATGAAAAATTTTCGAAAATATATATTATTTTCGAAAAAAACATTTGAGAAATAAATTATATTTATCTTTTTATTTCAATTAAGAAATTAAAACTAAGTTTTTATAATAAAAAGGGTGTAAATGTTTGTGGTTATTTTCTTTCTTGATACCTACACCCTTTTAATCTTTTAGATATACAATAAACCAGTACTTCATATATTATAACGAAACGTTATGGAGATATAATCTTTGATTATACATCAACAATGTTTATCAAGTTTGTAAAGAAGGCATCCAAATTTCTCTCTCTACCTTGTTTCATAAAAAATCGTATAGATTTTGTCGGATGATTAACAATAAATGAGTACAAAATTAATGATTTGTTGATCATTTAAATCATCCGAAACTCTCCAATAAGATTTTCCATAGTGTATCCTCGTACTTTCACTAGCATTGGATGAAACTCGTTCCATCCAGCAATGCAAATGTTACTTAGAGTTTTGTACAGTTTGCATTCATAAATTTCAGATTCTCATACATTTATTAACACATCTGTGAGTTCTAGGAAGAATGCAAACAAATCTCCTATCTAATAGAGAAGATGCTCATCTTAGAAAATCATTCAGTCATTGTAAAGCAAATCCATATAAAAGAAAATTGATGAATTTGAATAGATTCTTATACAATCAACGAATAATGAATCTTGTAGACCAGTAATAAATAATGGTTTTTCTTTTGTTTTACATCAATGCGTTTGAAATGATCTATTATGAAATTTAATTTGGATAAACTATCTAAGAAACCAATTTTTCTACATGAAATCATCGTTAAGTTTCATTGGATGATAATCCATTGATATCTAATAATAATGATATTGCTGAATTATTTACTCATATTAAAACGATGCTATTGATTGATATATTATCATCAGACGGTACATCTAATTCATTCTTAAATAATTTATTTTTTTCTTATTATTCTTGTTTTATTTGTTCTTGTTGTAATATTTTTTTAATATGTGTGATATAAAATAGTTTTCATGATCAATTACAACTGAACATATTATTAAAAAATCCAACAAATAAAATTTTTATTCATAATTTACTTTCTTCACTTATTCCATATATACAATTATTTATGAAATTTCGAACAGAATTTTTTAATGCATATCAATGGACAAAATCAATAAATATATCATCATTACTTATGAGTATTCAATTTATTATTGTTGATTATCTCCAATTAATTTATCGATTTAAAAATCTAATTCATCTATTTGTATAATTGAAGAAGAAAAATCTTATTATGATAAAAATCATATCTTTTTTTTAATATTTATTATAAATGGTCAAAACAATCAAAATATTATCGTAATATATTTCATTCATTTGCTTGTATATTTATACTTAATCATAATAATGATTTAATACATTTACTTGGCAATTTTATGAATTTATTATATAATGAAGAAGAAAATAATCTTGAAATATTTGCTAAATATCAAAATTTTGATTTCGATCTTAACGATTCAAATGACATTCCATGGTATATGCCATCAACATCAAAACAAATCAAATATATTGAACCAAATATTTATATTTAAGAAATAAAAATTATTTGAAAAAAAAATAATAAAATTTTATTCAAAATAATCATTTTTAAATGAAAATAAAATTCGAATGTTACTTGAAAATGTTGCTCAAAGTCAAGAACAGTATCATGTTTATAAACAAAAGAAATTACAAGAATTAAAACAGGATCTATCTGAAGCTTCTACACTATTCAAGAAGATGAAATAGTAAAAAGTTTATTATAGGAGTTAATTTTAAAAATATATGCTGTTAAGAAGCTCATAGAATAGTTCATAAGAGAAATTATCCTTGTATGACTTTTCACTTGTAATGAAATTCATGTAATTGCTGTAGCCATCGATAAAGAATGTTCAGAATTTCAGGGTTTTCACCCTTTCCTCAACGTTCAGTAAGAAAAAAAGTAAAAACAAATTTTTGTAACATAAATATTATAAAGTTCCCAGTAAGCGCAACGAAGACGTCTCTATCTCTCTCTCTCTCAAAAATTGGCACCGGTCCTATCACAAAAACATCCTATGTTCATCGAATATTTACAAAGGCTACCTGAACGTTCAGATGTATTTGATTCCCCGCTTTGCCTAGACACCTTCTATGGATGGTTTCTTCTTCCTATATTTTATTTTATTTTTCAAACAGCATTATATATCAATTTTTTGATAGATGATTTCTTTTCTCGATTTGATAACATACGTTCTGGTGGTAGTTTGTCAGTAATAACTGATGCACTCTATGAAACTATTGAACAACATACTAAGCATACACATATCGAAGATCTAACTCATCAAGTATTTGACAATCGAGATTCAACAATTGGTTCTAATCAAGAATCTTTGGAAAAAATTAATCGATGGGATAAATATTTTTTTCTCATTTAAATTTAACGAAAATTTTCTAATAAATATTTCAAGCGAACAATGGGTAAATGAATATCTTCATGCTAAATATCATGATAAAATTCAATTGAATGATATAGAAATCATATGGTTTAATGAAAAATTAGAACAAGAAAAATCATATGATTTTATTTTAAAAAATCTTAAAATGAATATAATAACAGATATTGAAGTAAAAAATACTTTGAGTAATAATCGTCAGTTAATACCAATAATATATAATGAATTACAATTATGTATTGTTGAAAATCTTGAAGAAAAATTACATAAACATGATTTAGAATTGTTTTTGTTAATTTGATATATATGTGCTTTTTTTTTTTGTTTTTGTTAAAATAAAAACGAAATGAAAAGAAAAATTTTTATTTCTTTACATTGAAGATGATTGTCTGTTATCGACGATTATTTTCTGCTTTAACAAAAAATCATAATCAAGTATTTTTAACCAATTTAACATCATGTCGTATTGTAAGTTGGAATAAAACAAAAAACGAAAAAAATAAATAATTCTTTTTATTAAAATAATAAAATAGCATCTTATTGAAACTCATAATCAAATAACCGTGCCACATTTCAATGATTAAAAATATCGAACAACAACGAACTTAGAAAATCTACAAAAAAAAACAAGAAGAAGATCCATCTCGAACAAGTTTACTTGTAAAAATATCACTTCTATAAAAACTGTTTTTGTAGGATAGATCACAACCACCAGTAATTGTCTGCAAACTTTTTGAATTTAATCATTATCCAGGTAAATTATAATCTATAGATTCTTGTAAGATAATATATTAGCACCATGTTTATAGAATTAAATCGTGAAAACTCTCATTCACCATCATCTTTTTCACTAATACTGAAGAAATGCAACGAGAAAATATTTCATACAGTATAAAAGAACGTTGTTTATATACTAACTTTGATTCTATATCAACAGCATCTATCATATTCTGTGCCGCGAAAAGGTAGGCAAAGTCTTATGTATTTAGATGAACATTAGGTTGAAAATGAAATTCGTCATGTTATTGAGAAAATAGACATCTAATAAATAACAATCAAGATACGTAAATCTGTTTCTTTGGTTAATATATAATGGAGAGTTCAACTAATTGAATGTAAAAGCTTTGTACCTAGATTAGGTTTATGTTCAGAACTATAGCTAGTATTCATTGTAGGAAAGATATTGAATGTATCGCTAACCAGAACTTCAAACTTCTATGACAAATTTCAATATGTAACAAAATCAAGTTCATCAAAGAAGTTTTGTTGTTACTATTAATATCATTGAAAATTAGAAGACTAACTTTTGTTTTGATTAATAGAAGAGAATCTTCTATTTTGTTTTTTGTCTTTTTGAAAAGGACATTAATATTAATATATGACTGAAAAACATGTTGCTTTCGGTGCTTGGCAATATCGATTATCAAAAGGTAACTTTTTTTTACTATTGATCATCATTTTAAAAATCCATCATGAACTCAATCAACTATACAGATATTTGAACAACTTGATTGTAAACCAGAACTCGTAGAAATTCTTAAAAAAAAAACAAATATTCACAATCCGACTTCAACTCAATCACATGTTATTTCAGAATTATGAACAGATCGTCATATGATCGTAGCAGCTGAAATTGGTTAGAAGAAAAAATAATCTACAATTATTTTAAATAAACTTTTTCTTTCTTATTCTGGAAAAGGTGATGGAAAAACTTTAGCATATCTTGTACCTCTTATTAAATCTCTTCGTTGGAAATTATCAAATCGTTTAGTACAAATGGAAAATGTACCGTTTGCAATCATAGGCGGCGGAGCCATTAGGCTTGGGGAGGCTCAAATACTAAAAAATATTTTAAAGATATAATCGCAAGTTTACGTCTTATTAGCGAGAACTCTTTGAACAAAGGTTGTCTCGTGTTTTTTGAATGGTACACCCAGTCAAATGTTAGATAATCCATGTGTATCACTATATTTGTAGTGCCTCTATGACTTTCGGATCACAAACATTTATCTCTGTTTCAGTTTCACAAAAAATTTTGAAGTAATAGATGAACATGAATCTTTTGGCAGACAAAACCTTTACTAAATAGCGTCGAAGCATGTCTTTCTTAAAAGAACAAGAAAAAAAATGAGTATAATCACTAATATTCACGTAGCTAGTGTGAATATGTTATCAACTAATTTAACTGACCGCATTAAAACTCCCTGTTTATAACACATAACGAACATACAGAATGTGCCAAAGGTTACTATTGAAAATACATGTAACTCCTGTAGCAATGAAGCTTAACACAAAACTTATTTTATTTGAAAGAAGAGACCAACATGTCTGTATTATTAAAGACCCGTTTCAACAACAATGTAGCAAAAGTGGAATTTGTGAATACAAAAAAGAATAAAATTAGGTCTTTCTCTATGTGGAAAACGATATGAAGCGTTTTTTCGATATCTATTAGAATTTCAATCGTTATTAGGAACTTCAAATCATTCAAATCTATCTTCATGACTTTACAAATACTCATCCTGATATATTCTCGAGAAAAAGGAGCAAGAAAGCCAATATTAATAATAACATTTGTTGTTAAATAGTCCAACGCACACTTTTCACGGCCTTAATGGTTTTCGAAGAGGCACGAGCGACCTACCGAGGGAAAATGCATCAGTTATTGGTTCTTTTCAAAATGTGTCAGAAAATGGCTGCCAAGCAATACTGAAAGATCTAAATGATCTGAAGTGCACAATGACGAACAAAGTTCTAGTAGATATAGAAAGTAACACTGTATTGTTTTTGACATAGAAAAAGTCTAATGTTTTTCTTTTTGTAGCTACAAATCCTGCTTTTGCTACGTTGTTGATTAACTTGATCTTTAAGAACAAAGTGTTCCTAGGCTCCCATTTGAAATAAAAAATATTAGATTCAGCTTGAATAATAGTGCATTGAAATGCATTTAATAACTCACAATGACTTTTGGCACATTTTATTCGCTGATCACTTTTAGTCATATCGATATCCTTCATATGAAGAAAAATTAGTTTACATGG